TGGCGGGATTGATGACAGGGGGAGAGGTGAGATCTAACGATTGTGTTTGATCTGATATTGGCGAGTACGAGATCTCAAGAAAGTGTGGCGGCACGGTTGTGGCTTGGCCATGCAGACGGTTCCGCCTATTCCTCCTGATGTAAAAGGTTCGTCCCTGTTTTCTAACTGACATACTAGCGCGTACTACAAAGAATAAAATATATATATGTTTCGTTAGAAACGCGTAAGTGTGTATATATGCTTATTTTCACGCGGGGAAACGTATGGATGAACCGGAAGGAATGGCACGGGTTTACTGGTTAGCTAGCGGGTCCACGAGATCTTGGGCTATCGGTTGATATATGAACGAGGAGGTCCACTATTCACGGAGAGCGCCAGAAGAGCAGTCGCAGTGACGTATCTGGGTGATCACAATGACGATTGTTGCCCACAATTATCCCTTTCTCTTTCCACTTGCTAAAAAACACGAACTGGCATGACTATCGCGAGTTCTTGTCGCGAGGTTGATTTCCGCACTGGCTGTAGTTGACAATGATTTAAGGCACTCGCAAACTTCACTGACTGAACTGTATCAACGTAAACCGGGTGAGTTTGACTTTTGTACTCACGCTCTGCGCTTCCGCGGACCTCTATTTATACCCCCAAAAAAGGCGTTGTGCCCTTTGTCTAGTTATGCAATAGTTAGTTGTAATGTCACGCAAGATTTACGATTTTTATAGCATCCTATCGTTATTAATCTAAAATGCATCGTTAGAGGAGTTTCGAGAAGAAAAGAAATGATTTACATTTTTCTTTAAAGAGGCAAGATTGCTCCAGACGGATGACGAATTCTGTTATCCTCGTGGAAAATATGGCTAGGTAAACAGATGGTTACCGTGCATAACTAGTTTTGCGTGCAAGGTAACCATTGTCAGTCGCGAGTCTGATCTTAGATAACGCTACCGTGGGAAGTTATCTCATGTGTTTTATGATTTTTTAAGCACGACGTGGCACCTGTTTTCCTAAGATGAAATTGTTGGTCAGTCTGGAACGACAAAGCTTGGATTTTTGTTATTGCGTGACTTCGGTGCATTCATAATATCTTTTGCAATCTTGTCACTTTTCGGGCCTGCATTAAGGTTATTCCGTCCGAATTGATTGGCGTTTACGAGGCAGTAACAGTTAATAAATAAATAAATAATATTTAATATCAACATTATCTAGTGGCACGAAAAGCTAAAGGGGACGGAATTTTCAAAGGAAGACAAGATTTTGTAAAGGAGAAGATGACGACGACGTATCTGAATAATATAAATCAGAAAAATGCATGCATATATTCATACTTACGTATCAAGTGCACTTATGGATATGGTTTTTATCTCATTTTAATTGTAAAAATCTATATTCTTCTTCAATATATGCATTTTTTAATAATACCAATTTATTTAAACAAAACAATAACTTTTTATTACATAAGCGTTCTCCTTCCTGTAAAGGATACACTGTAGAGTCTCTTTCATGACATGATAGAGGCTCTTCCATAATAATATAAAATAGATATTTTTATGTATTATTCAAAAATATACTTAATGGGAAACGCTCTACCGCATCTTCTGATAACAGTAAGTTAATAGGTATGTAATGAGGCAATGAGAGCCAACGCAGAAATCATTGCGCAAAAAAACAATAATATAATTACTTAAATCCACGACATGTATAATAAGTCCTTTTTAAACTTCACATTATATAAATAATTTAGAGCAACTTAATATACACGTAGTGAATTAAATAATTATATTGTTTTTTGCGTAATGATTTTCAGCAATGACTCTCATTAATTCATTTCACTTGCCTATTATTTTTACTTTGTTAATAGATTGATTTATTGATTTTTATTATCTTTAATACTTTTTGAACTAGTTTGTAGTCTAATATAAAGAATATCTTTGCATAACTTTGTAGGAAATTAACAACGTGTACCATTTGAAATGCTTTTTGCAAAATTCAGGTACAACTCGGTAAACATTAAGATTTTGTAGTTATTTAAAAGATATCTCTTTAAAGAAATCTTCAAGACATTTCTAGAAGATATATAAAAGATGTCTAAAAGATGTCTAAAAAGATTTTATTAAAGATATTATTGTATAATTTCGAAAAGTTATCTATAGACATCTTAAAGATCTCTTAAAAGATATCTTTAAAATATTTATAATAAACATATTAAAGGTATCTAAATGATCTCTCTTGAAAGGTATTTATTAGATACATATCTAATAAATATCTTTTAGAAATAACTTAAAAGACATCTTATTTTTGATATGACAGTTTGACAGTTTTTTCAATTTCGCGACAGACGTACACATCGCCATATTAAATTATATATTACGCGATAGTAAAAGTTGTAAATTCAAATTACGCACTTCGTATTAACATTTGTGCGTTCCGGAGTTCCGAGTTCCGAGCTCGGTTTCGCCTCTCGGTCTTCTTCTTGGCGACACGTACGTACAACACGAGAAAAGGAAGACGCGTTTTAAAATTATAATCATTAAAAATTATAATCACAAAAAAATTATAATCACAGGTAATTCTTTTTTATTTTTAATTACTAATGTGTCATCGTTACATAGCATATCAAGGAAAATAATTTCCACATAATATATATCTTATTTTGGCATTCAACGCCTCTTAAATTATTTGCTGCAGCTTTACAGCTAACCTCAGATTAACTCGATGGCTGTAGTAATAATTTATACTTACACATTTAAATTGATAAATATTGCACGGATTTTAGAAATATTTATCAATTTAAGTGAATAAGTACAAATATTTTTGCATATTTTGGAATTATATTTTTGAAAATTTAATTTTAATTTTGTTACATGTATAATTCAGGAATATGTGTTAGTTTTTATATTTATATCATATTATATAATAAATAAAAAATATAAATCGTTTACGTTGCTTTCGATTTTCAGTATCAATTTGACGGATATAGCAGCTCTATACTATAATATGTAAAGGACAAGTATTCCATGCGCTATAAATTCAATGATTGTAACACGATCGCAAAGTCTCTTAGTAAGAGGCAGCATCGTCATATGCCTGCAAGCACCCCACAAAATAGATAAAAAGATATATTTTATAATTTTAAATTTCTTGCCATGTCTTCAGATATCTTTCATTTTTTACGAAAAGACATCTTTTAGAGATCTAAAAGATGCCTTATGCAACATTTATAGATGTCTTTTATAAATCTGGAGATATCTTAAAGGATAAATTCGAGATGTCTTAATTTAAAGATATCTAAAAGATATCTTTTAGATATCTAATAGGGATTATTAATATTTCAGATTGATTGCGTTGAAAGTCCGATAATCATATCGGCACGCAATTGTCATTTCTGAAATTCATTTATATGAATATATATAATAGTTCAACATCTTAACATTCAGACCGCAATGGCGCTTCGTATTTAAAGTAATGTATTTAACATAAACAGTTTTGTTTCCAATCTTATTGTAAATATATTATATTATACATATTATATTATAATACATACAATTATTACATACAATTATATATATTATGTACATATTACATTTATTACATAATTTATTATATTTATGACATTTATTAAATATGTATTCATTAAATATGTATATATTATATATGTATATATATAGTTTACGAATCTCTCTCTCTCTCTCTCCCTCTCTCCCCGTCCCCTCCCCCTCCTTTCCTCTCTCCCTTTCTTCCTCCCCCCCCTCTCTGTACAACAGGAGTGTATTTTGCATACAATATTAGAGTATACACAATATATACATTTGGTTTCTTTTACTACGCAACATAATGAAAACATAATACAACGTAACAATAAATTAAACTGGATCAAAAACATTGATCAATACGGACTCTGTTCTTGAAATAAAATAGTCCCAGCATTCACTGGTTGAAGCTTGATCAAGAAAATCAGTACGGATTCTGTCTTCTTTCGAGGACAGCATTCATTGATCAAAGTTAGCAACTTGCTGAATCCGACACTTTGAAGACTCCTGATTGGAGACTCCTGATGGAGTCTGTATGAAGGCTAAAGTTCATAGATCTAAATTTAAAAATAACATTACTATATACTATTTACTATTACTATATACTATAATACTATTTTAGATAGATTCAAATTTAAAAATAATATAAATTTATCAAACAGGTATCGAGAATATAATAGAAAAAGAATCCCCTGAGTCCATCGACCAGCGTTGACATTAGTAAATCAATTAATAATCGATCAGAGAGCAAGACAGATATCAAAAAAGAATCGAACATGAATTCCATGGTGCCATAAGAAACAGGATTCCTATTCTTTTCAAGAAACGTATACAAAAGTGTAAGGAAATACTTTAATAAACGTTACGTATATTATAGTATTTCTCTAGATTTTCGTACGTTTCTTTTCAAGAATAGGAGCTCTAGAGTCTCAGATATAAAATTGTTTATTCTCGAATGAAATATAAAGTCTATTAACGTACAATAGTAACAAAGATTAATATAAATATTTGATTAATAAATTCAATCAACAATGACATTCGAAATTCTATGTTCAGAAAGATGGCATTTGTGACGGATATCCAATTGTGTCTGTATAACTCCATAAAGGATCAGCCATATTGAAATTTTAATTACAGATTTCGAAAGTAGAGATTTTAAGTTTTAAAATGCTTTTTTAAAAATCTCGATCATTTTTTATGAATTTAAACTCTTTTGAATATTTATTTATTTTTGAGGACGGACTAGGTGATCTTTTAATTTTTTTTCGTAGCATATTTGATTGATATTTTAAAATACCGGCAATGCATTATTTTTCACCATTTTCATTATAAGTGAAAACGAGAGTCTTATTTATTTTTCCGAAGGAATTTGTGACGTCATAATAAAATTTGCATATAAACATTTATACATATGTGTCCTTTCATTCTTTCCTCTTCCTCCTCCTCCTTCTTCGTCTTATTTCTCGGTATATTTTGTCAATGTGTATTACTCGATTGAAATAATCGATCTAAGATATCCTGCATTTGTTGCAATAACCCGTTTCGCAAACATTCGATGTTGAGTACGTTTATATTAAATTTACCAGCCTCTGTTACGATTCTCGTGAACTCGTTAAATGTATAAAATTGTTGTTGTTTGGCAAAGTACAGATTACCATTTATATATCGGAAGGCCAAGGTCGGAGCTGGCGGTATTCCTGGGAATACCGCTTGCAACAGTTGATACGAGCAAACAGTCATACTACATTCGTCTATCTGCGCTACGTCGTTACCATTGAAAATCGCGTAGGTTTGTCCTCTGTTAGTATTTACTACGGTATCGATGAAAGTGTTCGGGAGAAATCCTAGACTCGAGAGACGTTTTGGCCAACCTTCTTTCAATTTGAAACTGGGGTACTCGATCATGTAGACAATATTATTTATAAACAGTACTAGTTCACCCGAAGGTCTTTGATACGCGGCTGATAAGGAGAAATTCTCCGGAAGGAAATCCATGTAGCTGTTTAGTATGTATGGTCCGTCGTATTTTGCATCATCTATATTTATCGACCATACGTTGGTACGTGACGAATATTCGATGATGCAATATCATATCTACATATTGTAAACTACAGAGATCTATGTACTCGGGTTTATCTGTTGTAATTTCGGTAGTTGGTGGTGGTGTTGTTGTTATTGATGTCGGTAGTTGTTGGTTTTAGATTTTTATCTCCATAGAGTTGTTGAATGGCTAAAATGTCCTCTATGTTGAGTCTAACGATTTTATCCTTATTATTAGCAGTGACATATGCGAACATTATGGAATCTTCACGCGAACTGTGTGTTAATCCTAATGCGTGTCCAATTTCATGTGTTAACGTGTTAAGCAGATAATCCTTGTTACTAGCAGATTTTTCGGTTAGATATATATGCCACGGTTCTGCAGCATCCACGTGTATTTCAGCGGTGTAATTGACAACATTTGAAGGATAGAACGCGTGAGCGAGTACTCCACCAGGTCCATCGAACGAGGCGGAGCAAATCTCCTCGCTACGTTTACGATCAGCGTACGTGTGTGTGCCACTACGATAAGATATTAAGATGTCGGGATTTAACGTTTTACGTTGGAATGTTAAAGACGAATTCGCTGCCCACAGCGAGAACGCGAATGCGGTAGTTTTCAAGATGTGCACGTCCGCTAAATGGAAGTTTCTCGTGAGATGTGTTTTTGCCCATTTCCTCCTACCTGTATTATGCTC